TGACTTTAAAAATTCATTTCGTTTTACCGATTCATCCAATCCTTTTGAAATATTAACTCCATATACTATTATGAGTCTTATATGCCCCAGAAAATCAGTTTTAAAAAATCCTTAGGAAATTAGGATAAATAAGTAAAATGGTACGCAGTAGTGCAGTTTAAAACTCAGAACATGGGAGGGGACTTCAAACATTTCTTATAAATTATCTACTATATCAAGTACTGCCAAATATTATGTTAAATGATTCCTCTAAGAGGGTGTTTGGCTAAGCTTATAAGATGTTAAAAGGAGCTTATAAGATGTTTTAGTGCTTATAAGCTCTTCCAAAGTGTTTGGTATTTTTTTACAAAAAGATCTTAATATTTTTTAAAATAAGCTGTTGGAGAGCAAATAAGATTTTTTTTTAAAATACCTCTACCCCACCTTTTTATTTAAAATCTTATAATGAGTAAAAATAGGAAATAAGCTCATTATCCAAACACTCAAAAAATTAGTCCTAAAAATAAGACGTAACAGCTTATCAGCTCTTAAAACATTTTATTAGACGTATGAGCTTATCAGCTGTTTAAAATAAGCTTAGCCAAACACCCTCTAAGTTGGGGTTTTATTCCAAGTGGAGTCACTAAATTTGAAAGATGAAAACATTAGATTTCATTACTTATTCTAAACTGACTCTGATTTTGTACAATTTTGGTAAATAATTCATAACTTATTTATTTCTATTCCAAACATTACAAGCCACATATGAATATGACCATAACATATACAGATCTATGCACATATAAAAAAAATGTAATTTTAATAAACAATCTATTTCAAAATTCTAGACTCAATAAACTTATTTGCTTCAAATCCAAACCTTAAACATGTAAAATCACAACTAGTACATCAATAATATTAACATGCAATGATTATAACATAAGGATAACTAATTTCATAGCATATCATCATCAAATTTTTGGTTTCTTACTAATCTTCTATTTTCTTTCAAGAATCAAGAATCAAGAGTTAGATTCTCACATGCAAAGCTTTAAACATGAAATTAAACATTCAAAACATCATCATCATTTTTCTCATCAAAGATCAATAATGGAAGCATGGATCTTAACATGCATGAGACTAAACATATAATATAACATACTATGAGCACTTTTTTTCATAAAACTTTCGATTTTTTCAAACAATCAAAAATGGGAGTTTTTCAAAAGAAAAGAGAAGGAAGTACTATTGATGTTAGTTTTATGTAGCAAGAATTCCATGATTCTTACCTTAGGATCTTTTCAAAATTTGAAGAACTTTGTGGATATTTGCAACCCACTAGAGAATCCTTCAAGAAATTCAAAAATTAGAGAAAGCTCTTAGGGGATTTTCGAAAATTGAAGAAAGAAACAAAGAACAAAGAACAAAGATTTGCTTACTCTTCTTGGTTGAAGAATCTCCTTTTGGAGATGAAGAACTATACTAGCTAGGAATTAATGAAAAAAACGAGAAGAAGACGAAGAAGGAAGTAGACTTTGATCTTGAACTTTAGGATTAAAGAATGTTTTTGGTGTAGAGAATTGTGAATAAGAGGTGGGTATTTATAGAGTCTTCGATGCTTGCTATCTTAATGAGTAAGTAGGAAGAGGGGTCTTTTTGCAATTTGGAGAAACTTGAAATAATCTAGAGGGACTTCTTGGCAATTTCATTTAAGTTATCTTAAAAAAATGCCAAATGAAAAGCCAGGTAGAAATACACATGAAATATGTATGCATGCAACACATACAATCATAGCCAATTTAAAGAGATGAGATTACTATCAATTAAGCATATAAACTTTATAGTACTGTGATAAAATAAATTCTTATGTTACTAAAATTAAATCCGCGTAGATCACATAAGTTCACGTGTTCAATTATATTAAACACATGAAATACATTTTAGTTGCACAAATAGAGAATAAAATCAAAAATATTCATGTAGACATATAATGCAAATTAGTCACATAATTTCACATAAATAGCAAATAAAGCAAATTGAAAAAACAACTAATTAAATTTGCACATAATTCACAAACTCCAAGCAAATGTGACGTGAGAAAAAATAGACAACTAGGCTATCGAGAACGCCGAGTGTTACAATTGAGATTGGACAAATCGAAAGAAAGAGAAGTACAAGTAAAAAAAAATAATAATAGTATCACAAAAAACATGATATCCAACGTTATGGGATAATTACAGTTTTGGTCCCCCAAGTTTGCACGTTTTTCACTTTTGGTCCCCCATTTACCGCCGTTAACAAAATACACACTAATGTTGTCACATTTTAACATATTTAGTCCATCCGTCAGTTTGACCGTCAAGAAGTAATGGTCAACTGTTGAATTATGGTTGAATTTGGGATTTTTCATAGATAAAAATTGCACTCAGACCCCTGCATTGTTTTAAAATATTCTAAAAACCCCTAAAATTTTATTCAACCCTAATTTAACCCCAATTTCATCATTTATTCAATTTTGACAAACGACCCCGATTTTTACCACCATTACCGCAAACCGTTGACCGTTGTTTTTACATTTTTTATCAGCATTGACTTTTTTATTTAATATTGATTTTGACGCCGTTCATCGACATTGTATTCTCGATTAACAATGTTGACTTTTTTTTTCTTGATTTTTTATGAACTTTTTCGTGTGACTTTTTTTCCTATCAACACAATTATTGTATAACACAATAATAATACTATATTAATATCTAGTATCGTAATATTAAATTTACAAACTTCTAACAAAGTTTTTATCTAAAATTCTAGGGCCTAAATACAATTTAAAAATTTCTAAAATCCATAATTTGTTCCCCTCATTTTTTTCTTCGTGGAACCGCCAGTGCATCCCAATTTTTTTCCGAAAAAAATATAAAGAAGATGAATTAAGCATGTGCGGAGTAATTTGGAATGAGATAACCACTCTAGTACAACGGTTTTTGGGGCTACCACCGGTCGTTAATTTTTATCTTTTTTTTTGTCTTAATTTTTTTCCCTGATTGAGATGCGTTGACTTTTTCCTTTTTTCTTCATTTTGACTTTTTTTATGATATTATTTTCTCGTCAATTATCAGCTTTGATTTTTTTTTTAAATTATATTTTTCCAATTACTCAACAATTTAAATAAAAATAAAATAAAAATCAAGAAAAAAAATGTCAACGTTGTTAACCCGACATTCAACATTTGTCAACAGCGGCAAAAACAGATCACTCGAAAAAATAGTCAACCGAGTTAAAAAGAAAGTCAACGTCGGATTACTCAATTTTGAAAAATCGGGTTCATTGGTTAAAATTGGTTAATTGATGAAATTGGGGTTAAAAATTATGGTTGAATAAAATTTTAGAGGTTTTTAGAGTATGTTGAAAGAATACAGGGGTCTTATTGTAATTTTCTCAAAGAAAAACCCCAAATTCAACCGTTGACCGTTACTACTTAACGGTCAAACAGACTGAGGGACTAAATGTGTTAAAATGTGACAACATTAATGTGTAATTTGTTGACGGCGGTAAGTGGGGGACCGAAAGTGAAAAACGTGCAAACTTGGGGGACCAAAACTGTAATTACCCCCAAAATTATATATGATGATATAGAAATACTTGAAGTATTAAAGAATATGGACAAAAAAAAATGGTATTAAATTATCGACATCGCAAGAAAATAATAATATAATTGAGTCATAAATTATAATGACCAAAGATATTATACTTCTAGATTTCATTGTTAAATGAAATTGTTCAACTCAAATGTACAAAAATTTATCATCACAAAATATCTACATACATATATAATATCAATAAAAAATTCAAGCACCACAAAAATATATAGAAAAATTAACATTAAGACCATTAAAAAACATTAAAAAACAAAAGAAGTTAAAGGGGAAAATAATAATGATCTTTAATTTCCATCACATACTCATATAACAAAATATAAACGATCAATAAATGTTTTTAACCAGCATGAGTCGGTCAAATCAAACTATAGGATTAATTAAGTTAATGATTGTATCAATAATAAATGATTTTTACCAACATAAATTAGTCAAATTTTCCAAACTATAGGATTAATTAACATCGAACTATTCATCAGTCCATTCATATACCAACTTCAAAACACTCAAAAATTCCTCTTAATTACACAAAAATCTGAATTGGAGATTCACCCCTTTCACCTAAGGCAAAATGTATTCACTCTCAGTTAACTTGTTACCTTATCTTTTTTTCAGTCTTATTTACTATAAATCAAGAACTATCCATACAACTCGATCTTGTCAAGCAAATTAAACTCCGAAAGCATTAATTAATTATGTCTAATAATTTGTGTATCTTAGCATTTGGTTTATGTTTGCTAGTTCAAGTTCATATAGCTAAGTCTAGAGAGTATGGAGAAGCACTAACAAAATCTTTGTTGTTCTATGAAGCACAGAGATCAGGGAAGTTGCCCCCTGACCAAAGGGTCCAGTGGCGAGGAGATTCCGCCCTTCACGATGGCAAAACGGGCGGGGTACGTGCGTTGCGTAACCCTAATTATTTTTCAATATTATATTTTGAATTCTTGAGATAAAATACACGCACTAGCTATTTTCCCCCTGTCATATGTTTATTTCATGTAGTATGTTTACGTTGACGGTTAATAAGGGTCGTGGTGAACCGGCTGATCGATAACACATGCATGTGTCATAGTCGATTAGTTGTTTAATAATCTAGTAAGGCCTCGTTTAGTTGGGGAGATTAGCCATGATTAACTAAATAATTGGACTACGTTTGATGTTTGGTATCCTCAACGAATTGCAGGGTCGACTCGCAAATATTATGTTATCATGGCTTATCTTGCCTATTAGGCATGTTTTTTTATTGGATCTTACAAGGTTCAATAATACAATTCGGTTTCATTAGATTATTTAATCTATCTTGGCTAATCTTATCTTGATAACCAAATGAGGCCTAAATGTATTGAAATAGCTAGGCGGTTATAGGTAAAATTTCGATATTACAATATTCCCTCGGTTGGATGGTATTCATATTAATTTTGTCATGCAGATTGACCTGGTGGGAGGATACTACGACGCAGGGGACAACGTGAAATTCGGGTTTCCGATGGCGTATACGGTGACGATGCTTGCATGGAGTGTGGTGGAATTCGGGAATAATTTGAAGGCGAGAAATGAGTATTGGAACGCTTTGAAAGCCGTAAAATGGGGAACTGATTATATGATGAAGGCCCATCCAGAGCCTAATGTATTGTACGGTGAAGTTGGGGATGGGGGCTCAGATCATGCTTGCTGGCAGAGGCCTGAAGATATGACTACGCCGAGGACTGTTTACAAGATTGATGACCATAATCCCGGAGCCGACCTTGCCGGTGAAACTGCCGCTGCTTTTGCGGCCGCCTCTATTGCTTTCAAGAAGTCAAGCCCTGCTTATTCGGCCCAACTTCTCATCCATGCAAAACAGGCATCTCTCTCTCTCTCTCTCTCTCTCTCTCTCTCTCTCTCTCTCTCTCTCTCTCTCTCTCTCTCTCTCTCTCTCTCTCTCTCTGTTTTTGTGTTATGGATATTTGCAAAAAAAAAAAAGATCAAAAATAAAGTAATTTTATGTAAACTTAAATTAAAATATTGTACAACCAAAATTAAGTTGATGAGTGACATTAAACATTAGGAGGTAACTAATTGCAAATTAAAAAATGGCAGTTATTTGAATTTGCGTCAAGACAAGGTGGTCAGTACCAAAACAGCATTTCAGTGGCCGTATATATATATATATATATATATATATATATATATATATATATATATATATATATATATATATATATATATATATATATATATATATATATATATATATATATATATATATATATATATGTGTGTGTTTTTGTGTGGCAGGATGAACTTTTGTGGGCAGCTGCATGGCTACAAAGAGCTACTAACGACAACACTTACCTGGAATTCATCAATAGGTCTTCAAATTCAGGTGGCACAAGAACTATGTTTTCTTGGGATGACAAATTTGTTGGCGCTCAAGTCCTAATTGCAAAGGTAATATATATTGCACCTTGTCGTTTAATTTATTTGTATGTTTTAAAATGTCACCGGTTCTTTTTTTTTTTAATGTAACTCGGATACAATCATACCCTACATCCACGGACCTGCAAACTATTTTACCAGTTTAGAAATCAACTGTCAACAAAAAGTCAAGTGACCACATCCGGTTAAAAACATTCACCAACTTTTAACTACTAGAGAACAAGTGTAAAACTCGTGATGAGGTGCAAAAGAGCACTAATTAAGATATAGTAACGATCGAGGTCGAAATGTAATTAATTATTTTTGTTTAGCTTGAAAAGTGAAATTAATTAATTCATTGAAATTGATTTCAGAGAATCCTAGAGGGGAAGTTTTCCGAAAATGGAAACTTGGGTCAAATGAAGAACTTCGCAGAGCAATATATTTGCAATTGCATACAGAAAGGATATAGCAATGTTCAGAGGACGAGCGGCGGGCTTCTGTGGTTTCTCCAATGGAGTAATCTTCAGTACGTCACGAGCGCATCATTCATCATCACAGCCTATGCCGATTATCTATCTAAAACACACAAAAACATCCAATGCGCCAGCGGGATAGTCGGACCGAATGACCTAATGGCTTTTGCCAAATCTCAAGTGGATTACATGTTAGGTTCAAACCCGAAGAATATGAGTTATATGGTTGGATTCGGGTCAAACTATCCGAAACAGGTTCACCACAGAGGAGCATCAATTGTGTCGATAAAGAAAGACTCGAGGCCAATGAGTTGCCAAGAAGGTTTCGAAGAGTGGTTCCATAACAACCAAGAAAACCCTAATGTGCTGACCGGTGCAATAGTCGGTGGGCCCGATCGGAGTGATCAGTACACAGACGCTAGAGATAATTACCAGCAGGCTGAGCCTTCTACCGCGAATAATGCGCCTCTTGTTGGGGTTTTAGCTAGGCTTGCAGCTTGATGCCAAAACTGTTCTTCAATTCTTAATTTTTATTTTTTGAGAAAAAATTGTTCATTAAATTGTTATAAGAAACTATCTATCTATCTACTAATTTTAATCGTTTTTTGTTTCTTAATTTTTTTGTATTTCCTATTATACGTCTTCTAACAAAATAATATCATCAATTAGCTAGTGTCAATTGTGTAATAAGAAAAATAAAAATAATAAATCAACATAGCTTAATAATGTAGTTTAAATATCAAATGTATTTTCATAGTGCTATATTTATACGAAGGTCATAGTTTATTTTCTTATTATATTTTTTTCTACATATTGAATTTTGTTTATTATATATATATATATATATTTTTTTTTTGCAAAATCCACCCCTATGTAATCTTGAATTACTGAAAAAACCTCCTATTAAATAAATTAGCACAAACACCCCTGTGAAAAATAGTCGAAGGCAATAAAGACCCTCTGAGCTCGACGTGACATACACTCGTGGTTTGTGCGATTGGGAATTTGTTTTTGGACCATAAAAGACCAAAATATCCTTTAAAAATATATTCCACAAATTACAAATTCACCGCAAAATTACAAGCCCAAAATGAAAGTCTTCATGTTTTTTAATCCAGTCCCTAATGTTTTTAGAAAGGCCCTCTTCCTCACCATCCAACAATATTAAAAGTCTCACCATTCCAAAATTGAGAAGCATAATCCCTACAATCCGCCCACGATAATTTGGTTGTCCGTGATTTAGTTTGCGAAATGGAGTACGTAATCGTGAAAAAAACACAAAACACACACACACACACATGTACACACACTTTATTGCAATTCGCTTCCCCTCTTTTCAACCTCATCCATTTTTCTTCGATTCGCAAGCTTCTCACCATTGCAATCAATTATCTCTCGTTCTTCGATTCATGGGTTGGATCATGTGGGCGCGAATCCTAGACTGCAAGTGCCTGTGTTGTGGAAGGGGCAGGTCTGATAGAAGGTGGTCTTTGGCTGGTGACGGTCGTCGGCTGATGGCGGGGGTGTTTTGACGGGGAAGAAGAACATTATATATTTTTTTCTCTCTTTCTTTTATTTTTATTTTTTTGTTTTTCTTTTGTTTTTCTGAATTTTGTTTATAGTATATATATTCATCAGGGTAACGTAGTCATTTTATGTAAGTCAACTGCCCATTTTAATATTAAGGGGCGATGTGTTTTGTTAAAAACAATATAGGGGGTATGTACTAATTTTTATAATAGGGGACTTTTGCGGCCATTCGAAATTATATAGGGGCTTATATATATATAGAAACGTAAAAACGGGATATATAACATAAGTAGACCAAAAGTCTAAGACTCTTGAGTTACTTGAGTAAAAAGGTTAGTTAAAGGTAATCAAAATTGTGGAATCCTTTTTTTAATATCAATCTCCTCCATAAAGTCACGTTATTAATTGGTTCACATAAGAATGTGGTTGTCTGGATCCAAAAAAATCTCAACTGAAAAAAAAAATTCTCCACCATCGAGTTCTTCACAAGTTAGGGGAGATCGTGATTACCAGCTTCTTGTACGTTGAGCAGGCTTTGTTTGTTGTTCTTTTTTTTTTATGAATTGTTAAATTCTCTTCAATGTTTTTAGTATTATTTTTCGTGATGGTTATCTTCAAACATTAGATACATAATTCATTGTTGTTTTATTTGTCAAACAAGATCAAGCGCTATGTTCAATCGGAAAGGACAATAAAAGATTGTATCAATCTATATGCAATATAGACGACACTAATAATGAATGCACAACTAATCGTCAATATGATATTTTAGGTAAAATAACATACATAGTTTCACTATTCTTAATTATTTTTCTTTTGTTAATACAAATACAATATTTATTTTTTTCAATTACAAAATTATTTTCTAAAGTTATATGTTTGTATTTCAAGATTTTGAAGTTGATGGGATGGTGAAAGTATAATTACACCAATTACAGATAATGAGACTTCACAAAACGATATACCAAGTAAATTGTTTCTTATATTAGTAGAATCATGTTTTTGCATTCAATTATTTAACAGATTTAAATTCAGTATTAATACATTTGCTTTATTAAAAAAAACGCAGTTGATGTCAACCTAGAAGTTGAAGATCAGGATTTTGAAGAATTTATGCCACTTTCAAATGACAACAGTATGATATAAAAATCTTTGTATTACATTGTTTATCATTAATTGTTATATGGGAGAATGTGAGATAACTCCCTAGTTTTGAAAATATATATGAGGAGGTCCAATAGATTTTTTTTGTTCTAGTCAAAAACCCAAATTCTAATCTTAATTTGACAGACCCCCCTAGACAATTTGAAATACCTATTTTACCCTTATATAATTAGTTTTTAGAACCACGTTGTTACCCGATTCATTCATCGTTCTCTCCCCACTCCCCCAAACCCTAGCCCTCTCTTTCTCACAATGCCCTCTCTTCTGCCGCTCGCTGCGTTCCCTCTCTTCCTCCGTCGGAGTCACCGACGCTCTCGCCGCTTCACCATCTAGTGCTTGGCCGTCAAATCCATGCCCCTCAGAATCACGTATTGAAATCGAAAGGAGACTCTCCTCAGATTCGGGGGCGACCATATTTTCCGTCGATAGATCCACTGCAACTCCACCGCTCCTGCTACTCGATCGGCGATCCGGTTCCTTCCATCCGGAGAAAGAAATTTAGTTTTCAGTTAGAAAAAAAAAAACTAGATCTGAATCAATCATAAATTAATGGTGGTTGTTTGTCTTGTGCGAAGTTGTGATTCTTTGGTTTGCTGACTCATCCTCATGGGAGGGTAATTATTTTGATTGTGATAAGTTTTTGTGATTTGTTCTTTTTTTTTTTTTTTAAATAAAGCATTCTGCAAGGAATAAAGTAAAAAGGTTATCATTTTCAAAGCTCACACCTTTTTTTTGAGTAAATCTTCAAAGCTGACATCTAATACACAAAATAGCAGGCTATAAGCATCGTGGTTGGTTTTTTTTCGTTTCGTTGCTCTCTTTTTTCCCATCAATTTTTGTGTTAATCAATTTAATTATTAGTATTCTTTTGTTAATTTGTGTTTCCTGAGTTTGAAATTGTAAATTAATGGAAATGATTGGTCTTTTCTTTGAAGGTGTCCAAATTTTGATTGAACCTGTAGATGAATTTGGAAAATATAGTCAAACTACAAATTACTATTGTTCTATATAATAATGTGTAGTAATATATAGTAACATATAGTAACATATGCATGTGATTGTGCATTTGATTATTTATTGATTATAAATTGATATATAATGTAAATATTTAAATTTAACTTGATTTTTTTGTCACAGGTCTTCGTGTTTAACAACCTCTATGTAATAAGTTTTTTTGTCGAGAGATCGGGGTTGTTGTCGTATTGAAAGGTGGGATTTGAGGCTATATACCACAAACTACACTATATATGACTATACTCATATAGTCACATGTGGTCATATACATGTAGTTATATATAGTCACATGTGGTCATATACATATAGTCATATATAGTTACATGTGGTCATATATATATAGTCATATATAGTCACATGTCGTAACATGTAGTAATATATAGTTATATATAAACTATGTGTTTTTTCTGATGTACAGTGATGTTGATGATTGTGTATATCCAATTTTTTGTTCGGTACTAATTGATTATGATGATTTTTTCTTTGTTGAAGAACATATGCATGTAATTGTGTATTTCGATCTATATTTGTACAAGTTGATTTATAATATCAAGATTTAAATTGTGATTTTTGTTGTTGGTGTCGGTGAAGTTCTTTTTGGTATATAATTAGCGGTCTACATAGTCGGTCGACTATATATAACTATACATGACTGTATATGACTCGGGTGAAGAGAAGGTACAAGACAATATATATAACTTTGGAGGAAAAAAAATGTACATGATTATATATAACTATATGTGACTATTGAACATGTACTATACTATAGTCATCTGTAGTCAATTTATGTACTAGAAATTTATTAAAAAAATATTTAAAAAAAAATATTAACAAAATTAACAAAACAAAAAAATTTAAAAATTTAAAAAATTTAAAAAATTAAAAAAATTAAAAAATTAAAAAATTAAAAAATTAAAAAACAATAACAAAATAATAATTAAAACAATAATTAAAAGTAATTTAAAAATAAATAAAAATAATAAAAAAATAAAAATTTATAATATTTTATTGAAAAATCTGAAAAATGATAAATGCAGGTCCAAAAATGCTGAATGCAGTTTCCTATTGTGCTGAATGCAGTTGGAGAAATGATGAATGCAGTTTCCAATTATGCTGAATGCAGTTGGAGAAATGCTGAATGCAGTTGGGCGAAAATTACAAATAAGGGCAAAATAGTATTTTTGCCTCTCTAGGGGGTATCTCAAAGAAAGAATTTTAGGGGTGGACTTATCCCTATATATTTTCCATTCTAGGGGTGTATATCAAATGGCCCCTTGTTATATTTGTTAATCATATATGTTGTTAGAACATGTGGAATATTTGGAAATTTGTGATCCAACTTGGGAATGAAATTATTGTGCAGTGACGTGGTAGAAAGACTACATAAGCACATAAGTAAAACACAGAACCCAAAATTCTCATTATGTTGTAATCAAGGAAATATTGAACTCCCACTTCTCACAAATTGTCCCGAAATTCTTAATAATCTTTTCTTCAACCGTGATGCCAAAAGTAAATATTTCATCAAAAACATTCGAGCATTCAATATGATGTTTTCATTTACACCACTGGGAGGAAAAAAAGATTATATAGTAAATAATGGAAATGCAGCACCAACATTCAATGTAAATATGCGGTGAAAAATATCATAGAAGTAGAAGTTTAGTTCCAACAGAAGGTTCCACACCAAAATTTGCCCAGTTATATATATTTGACACTCAGAACGAAGTGTCAAATAGGACCCATATCGTAAGGTACACCATGAAGCCTTTAATTATAAAAAAATAAATTTACTAAATTATTACAATGTATTATCTTATATTC